GTGAATTACTTTGCATTTATCAACATTGAATTTCAACTGCCATTTTGTTGTCCAGTCACTCAGTTTTGTGAGATTCCTCTGTAACTCTTTGCAGTCTGCTTTGGACTTAACTATCTTGAGTAGTTTTGTATCATCTGCAAATTTTGCCACCTCATTGGTTACCCCTTTTTCCAGATCATTTATGGATATGTTAAACATTTCTGTCCCAGTACAGAGCCCTGGGGGACACTGCTATTTACCTCTTTTCATTCTGAAAACTGTCCATTTATACTTACCATATGTTTCCTATCTTTTAACCAGTTACTGATTCATGAGAGGACCTTCCCTCTTATCCTATGACAGCATACTTTGTTTAAGAGTCTTTCATGAGGGGCACAGAAATCAGCCTGATTTGGACTTCCATCTATCTTGGTATTTATATGATCCAGATCCCTGAAATATCCTTTACAGGGTAGGAGGAAATATTTTTATTTTTTTATATCTTATTTCCTTTTACTTTGCAACTTTCTGTTTAGACTCATGCAGTATTTTGCTAGAAGGTAAAATTTCCTCTTTCCATGGAAATGAGCATCTCTTCTCCTTTTTCCTCTCCTCTTCCCCCCCCTTTAGAATACCACTCATCAGATCACTGGGAATGGTAAAGAAATGGTTGTTCTTCAGGCAAGCAATAAAATGTAAATATTATTGGTTGACAGGAGACCATTTGTATTGTTGAAGTTGCTCAGCCTTTGGATTCATACTTCAGTAGCACCCAGAGGCATGGCAATATCTTAGCACAACACATGCCCTATTGTGTCTTACTGCTTACATCATTCCGCTAAGAACAAGCGTAGTACGTGTCTTCCCCAAAGGCCTTTTTATTTGATGTAATAAAAACTTTTTCTAGCCTCAAAACACATAGAAAAGAAACTCATAGTATGTAAGGTAATTTAAGATATTTTTCTGACACCCAAGGGAAATAAGGAAGGGTTATATGTTATGGTAGATCTCAGACAAAGCTGATATTTAAAAATATATATGCTGATTTTGTGAGAGCCATATAGCCTGCTGACTGGTGTATAGCAAGGGACAATCTATAAAAAATGTATAATGATATTATAAATATTTATAGTGCACCTAGGTGAGTGTAAGATAATAGGGATAGGCCAGAAAGGCTTTTATAATAGTAAATTTGTGTCTCTCAAACACATTGGAATTCTTTTGAAAGAATTAAATAATGCATAGAGGCAAAATATTAGATATAATTTGTATAGAGATTCAAAAGTTGATTAAGTCATTTACAAGCAGCTACTAAGAAAACTCAGAGGAGGAGTAATACTGGGTAAGTGTTAGAAAGCAAAGAGGACAGATATGGGACCAATTTTCAGAATTGAAAGGTGTTAATAATTAAGTGGGAGTATGCCGGGGTAAATACGAGAATTGTTGTTTAACATACTTGTTTGCAATCTAGAAAAGAGAGTGAATAGAAATCATACTTTGTTGTCGACATAAAAATTATCAGGTTTTTCAAGACTAAGTATTGCAAGTTCCTTTAGGAAGACCTAACAAAACAGTGTGAGCCAAATGATCAGTTCTGCCTGAACTGTCTCCCCATGTTTATACCTGTAGTTTTATGGGTATAACTGACTGTGACACATTTGTGCACCTATAATAATTTGTGCCCAGAAACTATGCCCATAAATATGGAGGACTGTGTTTGAAAATGGTATGTACTGTCACAAAAAAGTGGGTAAGGATCTATAAGCAGCAAATAGGAAAACTTGGATATGATTGGAAATTAACAAACAAACATGTAGTTGGTTAAATAGATAGAGGTTTTTTAAAAATCAGAAGGCAAAACCAAAATTAGGAATCAAGTGTGAAATCCCACTGAATCAGTTTCCTGAGATTATGAAGGGACTGGCATTGTTGGATTTTGGTCCTTTTCTTTTTTGTGTATGCCATAAGGACCAAAATAAACTGAGCAACTTATATTTTAACCTTTATGTTGTATGCAAGTATTTATTTTTTTACTCCTCATGCTACAGATGGCTTGATTTGTACAGTCTGCAATAATAAAGTCCACAAGAAAAGTACATAATAAAAGACAGAATTGCACTAAAACTGTAAGAAGCTACGTGAGGGACCAACTCTCTCCATGTGCACCTCAGCAGCAATTGAGGTCAATACGTGTCCTCTCAGGAGAGATCTCCATATCAGGGGGTTGCCGGCAAGTTATTTTCCCTGCTGGACCCTTGACTATGGAATTTTCTTCCCCTGTTAGTCCAGCACAGCCCAGTTTGGTTAACCTTCAGCTCGTGCTAATTGCCTTCTTGAGTAATGGATGGACAGACAGCCATGAGATAGATTCTTCTTAACTTATTAAGAGATTTTAAAGATGGAGACCTGGAAGTGGATTTTTTTCAAATGAGAAGCCAGTAGAGCGCATGGAGCAATGCTGTAGTTTACTCTTAACAATCTTCCTTGTTTAGCAAGAGGGCTGCTGTAGATGGTACTAGCTGAAGTTTCTCTCTGGTCTTCACATTTATCAGAAATCCCCATTTTATTAATAGCCATTTTTAGTCAAGATTCTCAGTGAGTGTGAATTGTTGTAGCTCCAGTTTACACTTCACTATCAATTTATGCCTGCTGAGGATCTGGCCCGTTTTGGTTAGTTGTATATCAGTACAATGAGCACTGTTAAAATGTTGATGTTTTTGCTTGCTTTGGTGGCACAAATATTAACATTTAGTCATTTTTCACTTGCTGTGGTTTGAAGCAGTGGTGGGCTACCTGCGGCCCTTGGCCCGCACGTGGCCCATCAGAGTAATCTGATTGCGGGCCGCAAGACATTTTGTTGACGTTGACCATCCGCAGTCATGGCCCCCCGCAGCTCCCCGTGGCCGCGGTTCACCGTTCCCGGCTGTATTGTTCCTATTTGTCTCTGTCAGTTCAAGTACAAGGTAAAGACACGTTCAAACTCAGGATGGAAGAGAGTTCCACACTCACCTCTCATTTATTTATTGTGGTCTCCTCAACTCTTCTCTGACCATATATATTTGGTGTTAGCTTCTACCCTACTGCAGATTGTAGAGGGAATGGGCAGAAGAGTAGAGCAACGTCAACAAAGTGCTGAAATGGGGAGCAGTCCTCGTCATGCTCAGCAGTTTAGGTTCTGCATAACACCACCCATCAGAAAGTTATGTGATGAGGTAAAGGCCAAGACTGTAATGACACCCATGGTGTATGTAAGTAAGTACAAGCCTACGACCCCCCAGTTCAGATGTTTGCAATAAAAGATAAGTGAGTATTGAATCTTGTACTTTGCTGACCTCTCTTCTGATTGTCTTCTTCATTGAGTCAAGCAGGAGCCAGGCTACAGCTTCTCATTTATAGCAGAGCTATAGTGCTCTTATCTCAATAATGGCTTCCCCATTAGTGGTGAGCATGTGATTCTTCCAGCATATCATTCCAGTGCCCCATCACAGCATATAATGATACTCATGTGAAAAGTTTTGTGTTTGTATATTCATGGTCTGATTTGCCCTACAATAAGACTGATGTAGTATTTAGTAGATTGCAGGTTGCTACCTGTCATGCACATTCATTTGTGGCTCAACTTATGCAACTCCTTCTTGTTTTGCCAAGATTTTCATGCACATTGCAGAGATTTTCTTCACCTTTATGTTTCCTCATACTTCCGCACGACTCTTTCTTCTGCTCTACTAAATGTGCTCAGAGGCACGGAAGACCTTCTAGGGATAGATCATTTCTCCTTGCAATTACATTGGCTTCACATGATCAAATAGACTTCATTAACCTGATAGCTTAAGGAAATCAAGCTCCAGGGGAAACTTCTATTCCAAGATAGATAATTAGGAAACGAAATAAATGCTATTCCCAGCATATGCAACCCTAATAAGGCATGGGGGTTACGTTTGCTCCCTGGAGCCACAGTCTGGAATAGCAAGTATCCATTTATTTTAAAACTTTTGCATTTTGGGTGTTGATTTTTGTCACTTGTGTTGGACAAAGTCTAAGGACGGTGGGGCTTACAAGCCAGTTCAGGCTGTGGGAATGCAGACTGGTTAGTTGCAGACTTGCAGGGCTGCGTGTTGGTGATAGTCTGTTTCCAGGAGTGAGATTTAGGCGGTGGAATCACCATGATAACAGACATATGCTAAAAAGAATATGTTTTGGTAAAATAATTATATCTTGTCAAGTATGTTCCCTGTGTTGTTTTCTTCGATTGTACGCTCTTTGAGGCAGGGAACATCTCTTTGTTCTGTGTTTGTGCAGTGTCTAGCACAGTGGGGCCCTGGTCCATGCCTGTAATGCTAATAAATAATTAACAGTAATGCTGAATAATGTAGCTGCAGTCTTTTCTGTCTCTCAGAACTCTTGGCTTGTATAACTTTTTTCACAGTGCTCCCTAAGTGTGTCAACAAACAGTTTAAAGGAAAAGTTCTTCCAGCTCTGCACAGCAAATCTTGACTGCCGTTATCCACTCTCCACACAGGTGCAGATGCTGTTGATGTCAACAGGAATACTGCACCTGAAGGGAGAGCAGACAATCAGAGCCTAGAACTTCTGAGTAGATCTGAGAGGAGAACTTTACCTTGAGACATTAACAGCTTCTGTTGTTAATAGAACACATGCACTCCCCAAAATGCTAATACCATTAAATGTCATGCACAGGCGGCAACAGCAAGACAGAGGTTTGATCAAGAGAGCTGCACAGACATGGGGTCCTATTGAGGGGGCCCATTAGCAGAGAACAACTGTTATAAATGAAAAGGACTTGCTAAAATAACTACCAAGTAAAATGTTTCTAATGAATCTCTGGCTGCCTCTATATATCTGAAATGATGAAACCTAAGAAGGGCAATTAGTGAAGTGTGCTCCAAAGTTTCCAGCCTAACGTTAAATAGGAAGGGATGTTAGGTGCAAACAAAGCAAAGAAAATTAGGGGAGAAGTCAATTTACTTGTTAATGAGCACTATCATCTCTTTTTTTTATAGGAAACCTGACGTTTTGCCTTTTGATTCTTAATCAGCCTTTGGACAAAGGTTACTTTCATCCTCTGTGGAGCAAAGGTAATAATAACTTTCATATATCTTCATTTGCTTATTTACTTAGCTGCTGCCCTGCTAATCTACCCTATGTCCATTGACTCTCAATGTGGCAATTTCCACTAACTAGAGCAACCACGGGGTGGGAATGTGAATCAGCAGAATACATTCCTTGTTGTTGAGTGCAGCAAATGAGCGGATTAGTCAAATTCTGCATCTCTTACACATTTCAGTGGGAACTTCATCGACTGGGAAGAGGTGCATGTATGTTCACTTATGTAAAATAAGACGGCAGCTTTTCAGAGGCATCCTCAGGAATTATGATGGTTTTACTGAGAGAGTGCAGTAGATCAATGCTGCATTGATAACTTAGGAAGTGAACGTTCCTGATAGGTCGTCAGCAAAATGTGTTAGTTTTAATCAAAATCAAATGAACCATGTACAAAGATTTATAAAAATATGAGGATTTTTTTCTGTTGGAAATGTGCATGTTGGGCATGTTTGCTTTGTTTAGTAAACGTAGAGCTAATCATCTCTGGCATGATTGCTGTAACGCTACTAATATTTTGTAGGGATTTTTTTTAGAAATTTTTACATGCTTTAAGCTGTTCATTTTTTCAGTGGAGAAGCTCAATCTTTCAGAAGGTTGCTAGGAATTCTTGCCTAAAATATTCTTAAAATGCTGCAGCACAGAGACAGAAACCTAATTTCCAATATTCATTCATGGAGTTACTCTTACTTGCTACGAACGGAGCTTGACTTAAAAAGATGCTGTCAGTTTGAATATTTTTAATTGACCAATTTAAAAAAAGAATCTAGCTTCTGATAAAGCACTGGGGCAGTGTGTAACCTGTTAACAAGTTTGGAATCCTGCAGAAAGAGAGTCCTGTTGACTTACTGTGGCTGGTGCGAATTGTTAATTCTACCTTGGACATGAGGAAGGGTGAGAGAGGCTCCATGGTTGTAGGAAAGTAGGGTATGAGACAGAGAAGTCTCTTCAGAGGAATAGCCATGCTGAGGAAGAGGTTTATGTGTTGCTATTATTTGAATTACTGTTAAAGCCAAACCCCAGGAAGTGGATTAATTTTGAACTGAAACCTGTGGGGCTTTTTAGGTGGAAATATCCCCTTGCATAAATTCCCTCACTGAACCTCGATGGGGTCTGTCTCCAAAAGTGATGGCTCTCAGAGGTTTCACAGAAGGCCCTGGCCATCTCTGCAGAGGCCTTGTACCCCTGCACCAGTTTTGGCCCCAAGCAGTTCCTCACCTCCTTGGCAGGATGGCTACAATGTACAGGTGTCCCGAGGGAGGGTGGTGCTCTGTGGAAAGGATAATGATACAGTCTGGGAAGAAACTTTGGTTATAAAATTTCCAGGGCATGGAATATTTCTGACTTTATAGCTATATAGCACCAAGGACAATGGGGCCTTTATCATAATCGGGTCCTCTGGGCTCTACCAGAATTTAAAAATGAATAAGAATAACTGATCATCTCAGGAGCTAAAGCTCTTGTCGGGGCCCAGGTCACTTGCTGTCCTAATTACTGCATCTTTTTCCTCTCTGCCTTCCTGTAGCCTGCATTGTCCCATTTCAGTCTAGTCAGAATGCCACTGCTTAGCTCATCTTTTCTACTCACCGCATCACTTTTCTTAATCCTTCCAGTGGGTCCCCCTTTTCCACAACAAAGCACAAGCTTCTTTGTTGGTATCCTAAAGTCCTTTACCAGCTGGGCTGCTCCTTTCTTATCTACTTCTATGTCTTCTTGTGTTGCTTTTGACCATGCAATTGTCTCTTTCTCCCATAAACTATATACCAGACATGCCAACAATCGCCTTCTGATGGTATTGCAATACCCTGACCCTATTGCTTGTATGCTGTATTCTGCTATACCTTTCCTTTGGTCTGTTCTTTGATATTTAAGCCCTGCTCCTGCAATCAGATGTGTGTGTGGTGACTCTTAGACCTGCACAGGACCACTGCAGAATGGGAGCATTAGACTGTAAGCTCTAGGGACAGGGACACTTTTTACTGTAAGAATGGCCATACTGGGTCAGACCAAAGGTCCATCAAGCCCAGTATCCTATCTTCCAACAGTGGTCAATGCCAAGTGTGTCAGAGGGAATGAACAGAACAGGTAATCATCAAGTGATCCATCCCCTGTTGCCCATTCCCAGCTTCTGGCAAACAGAGGCGAGGGACACGATTGCTGCCCATCCTGGCTAATAGCCAGTGATGGGCCTATACTCCATGAATTTATCTAGTTCTTTTCTGAACCCTGTTATAGTCTGGGCCTTCACAACATCCTCTGGCAAAGAGTTCCACAGGTTGACTGTGCGTTGTGTGAAGAAATACTTCCTTTGCTACACTACAATGATGGGAGTGAAATAACAACTTGAATACAATTTAATACAATGAGGGACAGAGCGTAGCACAATGGGACCCAGTCCTCTTAGGGCTACTGCAATGAAAATAACAATTACTCCTACTAGGAAGGATGAAATTTTCAAAAGTGTCTAAGTGAATTAGGAGCACAATTCCCATTAGAAAGCCAATAGGACTTGTTCTCATAAGTCACTTAGAATCTATTCAAAATACCACTCTTTGTGACTACAGGAGAAACAGAGAACCGACTGTACACAACGCGCTGTCAAATCCACACAGTGAAAAATAAAGGAGAGATCCTGGAGAAAAATGGAGAAAAATATTTTTTTGACTACCTTCTTTCAGTTACAGCAGTCTTTGGTGTTGCAGCAGGTACAAAGTGTTCAGGCAGAAATGTTATTTTCAAGTGGATGGTGTCCTTTTAACAAGATAACTTGTTTCATTAGTCCTATCATCTCAGCAATAGGTGAGAACAAAGGCGTGAGGTGATCTATACATTTTGCTCTGTCCTGAGTTTATCGAGTCACGTGGATAAATTTGGACGTTCTGGGCTAAATCCATCCCTGGTGTAACTTCGCTTGACCTCAAGAATCAGTTGTTACAGCTAATTAGCCTCTGTTTTATTTGTGACTTTCTTGGCAGATATTTTTACTGACATAATTTGCAAAGAACTACTTCAAATTGCATAGGTTTGAATAAAGTTATTTCCAGTCTGTGCTTTGTGAAGGCCACTATAATGTGATTTCTGCGCTTAATTAGCCCTTTTTTAGGTATAAATATAGCAACATTCACCACTCTACCCACATGAGGTCTTCCAATTTCTGGTAGTAGGATACTGTGGACCAGAGATCAGTACCACTTCCTTTTGTTGATAGTTCTTCAGTCATGCTGTACATGGATCTTTGCCTTCATAAGAAACTTCACCAACCTCTGCAGCTTCCAGTATCAATATTGCTTCTCACTTAAAATACCATATCAGTCTGTACTTTACTACTGCTGGTCTACAGATGGTGTGAAAAAATGGTAACACTTGAAATATAATATGTCTACAAAAGGATGGATTCTGGATTTAAAGACTGAAGCAGTCTCCACGTTAATTCAGAACCCAAGGAAGCCCAGACTTTGGACACCAAAACCACAAAGGCCATCTGGAAGGTACAATAAGTTTCTAAAAGACCAATTTTTCTCATTAATGTAGGTCACTTATGCCGGATTTTTCCAAAAGTGACTAGCAATTTTGAATGCCTTAATTTTTGCATGCCCAACTTCTGAGACAACTTGAAAGGGATCTGATTTTTCAGAAAGTGCTGAACATCTGCCTTCTGAAAAGTATCTCAAGTTGGGCACCTGAATTTGAGGCACCAGGAGTTGCTTCTCACTTTTGAAAATGTTGCCCTTATAATCTCTCATATCCTAATGCTCTGGCATTATCCGTGTGCCTTCACTTGGTGGCAGAATGATAAATAATTGTGCATTCAGAATCCTCTCCATGGCTGAAAGATTAATGATGAAAGCTATAAAGAGCAACAGTTATGCACTGAAAAAATAGGGTTATTATTTAAAGAGTTAGATAATATGTTAGCATTCTACAGGGATTTGATAAAATTCTCATACAGTATTGTATTTCTAGAAATGTTAGGCTGTGCTGTTAAATAGTCTCTTTAAGTTTGTGAGTGGGGAAAGATGTATTACAGAAGTGTTCTTCCTTAGATTCTCTCCTGCTCCAAATTGGGTGGGCTTGTATCCAAGGATTTATTAGTAAAATCTGGTTGCAGGTTTGAGCGTTGGTTAATCAAGTCCTGTTTCTAGGCTGTTGACAGATGTTATGTCTGTGCCTTGTGTAAGAAAGACCTGGTTGTGGTTATCTTGCTGATCCGTTGATACTCCATAGCATTAGCTGCTGTCCATTCCTGAAGCAGGTTTTGACTTCATCAGAAAATAAAGGGTGACACAGAAAGTTATAAATCAGGCAGAACAGCTCAAGTTCTTATTTTCTTCTAAATATTAGGCACTCTTGCTACAAAATATCCTTCAGCCCCTGTATTGAAATATATTACTAGCACACTCTCAGAACACTGGGGCTGGCCAAACCTTGACTGTGAGCTGCATATTCAGTAGTGATTAGGCACCACTGGTACTGGGCACATGCTGAGTAAGCAGCTGAATGGATCAGGACTTCCTGAGTGGGGAATCATTGAGTGTAATTCTGTAGTCTGTGTTATGGAGGAGTTCAGACTAGATGACCATAATGGTTCCTTCTGGTTTAGAATCTATGAATGTGGGGGTGGGGCTAATCTCAACTTCCTCCTAAAACTGGCCAGCAGAATTCCTTGCCTTCTGGGAGCACTCCCTAGGTATGGATAGCAGGAGGAAGGTTCCCTCTTCCTCCTGTCTTCCATGTGGGACTCCTCCCTCTGCAGGAATTTGAGATCTAGCTGGGTTTTGTTATGCTTCCTGCCAGCAATTTCCTTTTTACCTCCCAAAACGATCCATAGGTATATTATGAGAGTTCTGATCACGGATAAGAAGTAAAAGCAAGAAAAAGAGATGAACAGCTTGAGGAGAAGACCAGGGGGGTTAGAAACTAGACTCTGCTCTACAGCCAAAACAGGAGAAATCTTACAAAGGCCTTTCCACTATCA